CTCTACATGGGGCTGTCCCTGAAGAGCATTCAGAAACGTCAACTGGTGCAGAATGCAGCTGTGTGTGTAGTAAATAGTGCCAAATATATAGCACATGTAATATCACTGCTTCATTGATTACTCATATGTTTCCAAGTGCACATCAAGGTGCTGGTTGTCTCCCTCCATGGCTTGGGACCAGGCTACCCAAGATATCACCTTTTTCCAAAGGGAAAGGGAAGACTGGAGACTGTCAAACCTGATCTGGTAGAATGGGCATGTGGCAGATCCCATCAGCCAAAGGCCATATGTGGTGCTTGCAGGGACTCTAAGACGGGCCTTTTCTGCAGTAGCCCTGCCTGATGGAATAACTTCCCCTTGGAGATTAGAATGGTCCCAACCTTCTTGTCTTTTCGTAAAGCTCTAAAACCTGGCTGTGTTCAAGAGCCTGGTATGCTGAAATGTGCTAAGGACTGTTTCCTGGCTTTATGGTTAACTAGCCAAATATCTCGGTTGCTATGCATATTTATTTTGAATATTTTAATTAGATTTCTATTGTTTTTATTGTTTGAAAATGTTTTATTGTTTTAGTTGTAAACCATCCAGACTCATTGATTGAGGTGAGCAGATATAGAAATTGAATAAATAAAAACTATATTGGAAACTCAGGACAAAAAGTACTAAGACTGATCCTGAGAGACAACTACTACAAAGGGATACTCCAGGACTCTTCATCCGTAGTAAAGAAACACAGTTCTCCTCTCTTCCATTTCCTAAACCAACAATCTAGAAAAACATGTCCATACTAAACATTTTTCTGGGCTTATTTAAAAGGCTGTATATGTGAAGAGAATAACATTTCCTACAGTTCTACTAGATAAATATAAATGAAAATAAACTGTAAAAGCAAGGGAAAATATGAAACTGGCTCTTTAAAGGATCTGATTAATCCAAGTTCTTAACAGCAATAATTAAGTCTCATGTAAAGCAGGTGTTTAATAGTTATTTCATGATATGCTGTCAAGAACCACATTTAATAAGTACTGCAAAGATGAGAATCTTAGACTTGTGATGAGTATTAAAGAACAGGTTTGGTGGAATATCCTTATCTCATCTTCCTAATGCTGCAGTTGAAACATTTCAATATTAACTTTATTAAGTCATGCAGTCTCTTGCAGTGAAGAACAATAATTCAATTTCTGCATATTAATTGCACAAAGTGTTTATTATATTAGAAAACTATATTTGTTCAATATGTTGATCTGTTAAACCAGGGATGTCCAACTTGGCAACTTTAAGAGGCGTGGACTTCAACTCCAGAATTTTCCAGGGAGCGTGGCTGATTGGGGAATTCTGGGAGGTGAAGTCCAGAGGGCTTAAAGTTGCCCAAGTTGGACACCCCTGTGTTAAACATTATTTGAATTAAAAGGGTCTTGAATGCATTAAGTATTTCAGCACACACTTTAAATATTTTTATTCATAATAGGAGTAAAATGGGGGGAAGTTGCATCTATTTTAATGATGTCAGGTAGATTTGTACAAATTGCTCCAGTAAGATTATTTAAAATAGCCATAACACTGACATAAGATTACTGTTCAATTTTTTGGTGTTATTGATGGGTTTTAGAAGGCAGCAATTTGAGGTTTCTTCAAAATCTAGTATTACAATGGACAGTGAGGAAACACTAAGCAGCTAAATACATACAGATAGTCCTTGATGTAAAACCATTCATTTAGTGACCAAATTTACAATAGCACTGAAAAAGTGACTGATGTATGTTTTTCACACTTGTGATCATGCGAGCAGCATTCCCATGGCCTCATGATCAAAATTCCAGACATTTGATAACTGATTCTTATTTATGAAAAATGCAGTATCCCAGGGTCATGTGATCACCTTTTGCAACCTTCTGACAAGCAAAGTCAATGGGAAGTCAGATTCACTCAACCATGTTGCTAAGTTAACAACCACACTGACTCATTTAACAACAGTGGCAAGAAAGATTGTAAAAATAGAGCAAAACTCATTTAACAACTGTCTTGCTTAGTAACAGAAATTTTGAGCTCAAAAGGGGACTAGCTTATTTATATCTATGGTAAAAGTCTGAAATGAGTTAAAGTCATAAAAGTATATTTGGCATTGACTTCTAGCACTTCACTCTTATGCTGTCTCTGTAATTTTCTGGCTGAATATAAAGACAGGTAGTTAAACACTACAAAGGCTTCCATACAAAGTTTCTTTATTGGATTATATTAGGCATCCTCAAGGTATAACTCAGTTATGTTGAGATTCATCTAATGTCCAATCTTTGCATTGTAGTCTTCACAGTGTGAAAAGATAGTTATCTTCATCCCATAACGATACAGCAAAGGGAGACTCCAGCACGATGCTGGGATCCAAGCAAGAATGAACAAAGCTTCCCCCAACCCAACCAGAGATCAATTCAGTGACCAATCAGGATTACAGATGTGACCACATGACATAAACTACATCTCCCATGAGGCATTAACTACATTTCCCATGAGGCATTAACTACATTTCCCATGAGGTATTAAGGGGCAGCTCTCATTCCCAAATTAACAATATACTGTATATATAATGTGTAAACATTAGTGAGTTGGCCATTTTTATTTTGCACACATATGACTACTACATTCAGGGCAAAACCACCTTTATCTTTTGCATAACTTGCTAGGAATTTGTATAAAATCTACTGAAATAAATTTTGTAATCATATGAACTTAATATAGCTTTGCATAAGCTCCTTCATACAATCTTTATATAGTAATCTCCCTAAAGTCATGAATTAGGAAACCTGAACTTTAAAAACTATTGTAGGACACCTTATCCAGAACATAATTACAGACAGAACTCAGCACCACAATATATCCCAAAATTTCTGTTGCTACCTGAGACATTCGTTTTGTCCCATTTTACGACTTTTCTTGTCACAGTTGTTAGGTGAATCACTGCAGTTGTTAAGTTAGTAACATAGTTGTTAAGTGAATATGGCTTCCTCATTAACTTTGCTTGTCAGAAGATTGCAAAGGATGATCTCATGACCCTTGGACACTGCAACTGTCATAATATGAGTCAGTTGCCAAGTGTCTGAATTTCGATAATGTGACCAGTGGTCTAAATGTGAAAAACAGTCATAAGTCACTTTTCTCAGAGTTGTTGTAACTTTGGTCACTAAACGAACTTTTGTTAGTCAAGGACTACTTGTAATTAGAATTGTCTCATGAAAAATATCCAAGGAATTAGAATCAATTTGTCTTATAACTTTAAGTAATTATATTTTTGTATCCATAATTATGTCATTTACTAAATACTGTATATACTTTCAATGGGTTCAATTTATAATTTATCATGTACCTTCAGCAAATAAGCCCTTAAAAACCTCAGTATTGGATCAATAAATACAACCTGTTTTTATATCTCAGTGCTAAGCTATAAAGCATGGTTTACAAATTACAATACCTCCATTTAGGTAATATTTTAAGCCATAATCTGTTTATTGTTTTTGGTTTAGCATGTTGTATGAGCAAAATCAACAGAAAGCACGAAAGTTAGGGGACAAAAGTTTCATAGTACTGTATATAGCCAGCATATATTCTAGATATCAGATATAATCATATGACAGCAGTACTACATTAGTAAACATTTATCAACAAAAGGTGTAATTGCATCATCCTAAAAAAATATTCCATGGAGCAAGACCAATGCAGATGGAGCGGAAGGAGAATCACAGTGCTACATATTCTGAAGTCTTCCCATTTCCAGATAATAAAGACCCACCCATATCTTTGTAGTAGAATGTAAATCCATAGTATTACACAACACTGTGTAATCAGTTAGAACAACAGAGCCCTTCCTCTTCTTTTACATAGGATACTACTACTGAACATATCACTAGAAGCAAAATACTAATTTCCAAATAAAACTGTCAAACATCACTTCAAAGGAAGCCGATTTAGAACTCGTGACTACCAAAGGAAAGTCGCTGGTTTTGACAAGTCCCAAAACACCTAGAGTACACCAAGGTTTACAGAAACAACTTCACCTCCATGCCTTTTTCCCCACAGATATTGTATGGCGCAATTATTCCACCAAAGGAAAGGAAAGGAAACAGCCAAAAGCTTGTTTTGGGTAAGCTTCAGAAGTGTCAAGAAATAAGCACGGGGAAAGAAAACGAGTGTCTCCTTGGCACACTTACACATTCCCGGGGGAGGGCGGGTGTGGGAGACTGAACAAGCCGGTCCTGACCCCGGAGGAGTAGGGAAAGTAGGGCTCTGAGAGTCTTTTGCATGTCCATTTGACAGGGCACCCCACAAATGAATTGGTCCCTATGATAGTATTGGAATTAAGTCTACTTGATTTATCAAGACATGTTCATGCCCTGATTGTATATACTTGTATCTATCAATAAACATAGTGATACTTGAATGTTTGTTGAAATGGCTGCTCTTTATATTTTTCTTTGAAAAAAAATGGGCATCCCGTCTCGGGCTTCCGAGAAGCTGCACTTCCCACCCTGACTTCCAGAGGAAAGTAAGGGGCTGCTTCGCCCGGCGATGGGACTGCTCGGCCGAGTCTTCGGAGGCCAGGTGAGCTGCTCAAGTGAGCAGCCAGGTGAGCCGCCAGGTAAGCAAAGAAGACGCCTTTCTGAAAGAGGAACGGGGGGGGTGAAGTTGGTCCTCCCCTTCGCAGGGGAAAGGAGTCCTATCAAGCCACGGATAGGGAAATTCAATGGAAGGAACCCCCTCCTTCTCCCCCACACACAGACACCTCACGAAGGTGGAAAGGCAGGAGACTCCCGGGGGAGGGGGAGTTGCAACCCCCTCGCCCCTTCATTTTGCACGGCAGAGGCGCCGGGCTCCCCGGGTGCGAGCTGTCATCGCTCCGGCGTTGCAAAACAGGGGAGTCCGAGGGTTTCCGGCCTCCCGCCGCGGCTGCGGCACCTGCTTTCGGACTCCCCCAGCCTCCGCACCCCCCTCCCCGCCCTCCGCCAGGCCCTCACCTCAAGGTGGGTCCCACACAGGCCGTCTCCGTACTCTCAATCTCCTGCAGGATCCGCTCATGCTCCGGCAGGCTCTCCGCCATCTTGCATGGGAGGGGAGGGAGACGGAGAGACAAGCCAAGGAGGCGGGGAAGGGGGCGGGGCCACCCCCGTTGCGGAGTCGAAGGGAGCGAATCGGCGAGGAGGGCGGGCGCCCGCGACCTTCAGAGCGGCTGGCGGCCTCCAGATGTGTCAGACTACAACTCCCATGCTCCTTGTACTCCGGAACACTTGGGGGCGGGGGGGGGGGGGCTTTGAATCTGTGTTCTAAAAGCACCTTGCATGCTGTTCTATGCATTTTTCCCCCTTGGAGTGAAAAGGGAGTCGTGTGTAAGGCGCTGTTTCTCAACCTTGGCAGCTTTAAGAGGTCTGGACTCCAATTCCCAGAATTCCCCAGCCACTTATTCACACATCTTAAAAGTTGCCAAGGTTGACGAAGCGCTGGTATAAAATCCTAATCCTTCTGTTCTCTTCTGGTGTGAGAGTAGTTTCTGAAGAAAGTCAAAAGCCATCAAGGTTTAACTTAAATAAATTAAATTAAATTAAATCAATTAAATCAAATAAATGCTCTGTCTTACATATTGGCAAAAAAAATCAGAAAATAAAATACAAGCTGAATAGTCAAGACCTTGTTGATGATCCAAACTCTGTCAAGGACCTTGGAGTATTCATCTCTAATGATCTAAGTATTATTTTATTTTAGTATTTATTTGATTTGTCAATCACAAGATACAGGTATAAGAATAAATACAGTTTTGAACACATGAGATAGATACTTATAAGAAAAATAAAAAACAATAGGACAGGGACGGAAGGCACGATTGGTGCGCTTATGCACGCTCACTGGAACTACATAGCCAAAAAGGCATTAAGAGTTGTTAACCTAATCCTGCATAGCTTTTTCTCTGGTAATATCACACTACTAACTAGAGCATACAAAACATTTGCTAGACCAATACTTGAATACAGCTCACCAGTCTGGAACCCACATTACGTATCTGATATTAGCACAGTTGAGAAAGTCCAGAAATATTTCACAAGAAGAGTTCTCCACTCCTCTACTCCTTGCAGAATATCTTATGCTACCAGACTTGAAATTCTAGACCTAGAAAACCTAGAACTACGCCGCCTTCAGTCCGATCTAAGTATCGTATATAAAATTATACATTGCAATGTCCTATCTGTCAATGAATACTTCAGCTTCAACCATAACAATACACACAATAGATACAAACTCAAGGTTAATCGCACCAAACTTGATTGCAGGAAATACGACTTCAGCAACAGAGTGGTCAATGTCTGGAATACTCTACCTGACTCTGTGGCTTCTTCCCCAAACCCCAAAAACGTTAACCTTAGACTGTCTACTATTGACCTCACCCCTTTCCTAAGAGGTCTGTAGGGGGTGTGCATAAGCGCACCAATGTGCCTGCCGTCCCTGTCCTATTGTTTCTTTTTATTTTTCTCATATGTATCCATTTCATGTATTCATAACTATGTTTATACTTATACCTATTATCTTGTAAGCAATTGACAAATTGAATAAATAAATAAATAAATACTATGAGAGGAATCTGCAGCTAACCAAATGTTGCTGAACTTCAAGAGGCATGGAGGATAATGCAACATCTGGATAGCCAAACATTTTCTAAGGTAAAGGTTCCCCTCGCACATACATGCTAGTCGTTTCCGGCTTTAGGGGGCGGTGCTCATCTCTGTAACAAAGCCGAAGAGCCAGCGCTGTCCGAAGACATCTCTGTGGTCATGTGGCCAGCATGACTAAATGCCGAAGGCGCATGGAACGCTGTTACCTTCCCGCCAAAGTGGTTTCTATTTTTCTACTTGCATTTTTACATGCTTTCGAACTGCTAGGTTGGCAGAAGCTGAGACAAGTAACGTGAGCTCACTCAGTTACACAGTGCTAGGGATTTGAACCGCCAAACTGACGACCTTTCTTATTGACAAACTCAGCGTCTTAGCCACTGAGCTGCTGCATCCCTAAACATTCTACCTACTGGTTAAATTTTACCAGAAGATGTTGCATCGGTCTCACCTGCTGAATATACCTGAGTTCCTACAAAGGTGATAAAGTAGTTAAAATATTGGAAACACTTTTTTTTCAAAAATGAGATTCTTTTAATTTTGAGACAACAGCATCTTCTTTTGAAGGAGAAATGTATTATTTTAAAAAAGGAAATATAATTAATTTTCGCCTAAGAATCTCTATTCTTTAAACATGCCCAAAAATCATATATGTGCTTATTATAACCAGAATGTAGGGTAGAAGTTGACAGGGCCTATGTGGACTTTTTAAAAATTATATACTGTAAAGGACTAGGAGATAAATTAAACTGTGTCAGTTGTGACCTCTAATGACTCCATGCATATGTTCACCTCGTTTTGGGGTGATAATATTGTATGGAAGCAGCTGGCCTTTGCTTTCTTCAGAAGTGTCCAAAAGATGTGTTAAAAAAAAAAAATCAAGGCAGCAGCCATTACAGTGTGATCAAACTCTGCCTGTTTTTTATGTGCATGTTATGTATGGCCTACATAAACAGGCAAAGTTTGATACAACTACAGCGGCAGGGTGTTCTATTCCCTAAGATTGAAATTAATGGAGCTAAATGAGATAGCAAAATTCCATGCTACTGTAGAAAGTTAGCACTCACCCCTCTCCTAGAAGAATGAAATGTATTTTGAGAAGTGTTAAAAAGGCAGAATATTATATTTCCCTGGATGAGAAATGGGGAAACATGCTCTTGGAATGCACCCCCCATCTTTCCTAATAACCCTCAGCAGAAGTCAGCACTTAAGAGATAGCTAGCTCTATTCATAAGCAAATACCCTCACCCAAGATCCAACAAAGGTATTATTAGCCCTTAGCCACAGTAGGAATTGCCCAAAGCCCCTTCATTGCATCACTCACAGAAACTTCAACCAAACTTAGCTCAGACAAACACCTAGGATTTGTACATGGCCCCATGTGAATCTGACAAGAGACAATAGAATACATGTTCTTGAACAGGAAGTTCAAGTGCAAAGCCCAAGAGAAGGTATAAATACTCCCCACTTTCAACTGCATGTGGTCAGCTGCCCAGATCCCATGTGCTTCTGCTTCATCATTAAATCATATTTCCAATCAGCCTCCATATTTCCAGCTTGGAACCGAATCAGATTGATATTTCTTCCAACACTATGAAGAGATCATTGATAGATTTCTTACAGGATAAATAGAAGAATCAACTTTTGAGTCTGGGTTTTGAAGATTAGAATGGACTTGACTAGAGAAATATTGTAGCTTTTTAAATATAAGGTTATATACCAGTTGTGGGATTCAATTTTTTTTACTACCGGTTCTGTGGGCGTGGCAGGGGAAGGATACTGTAAAATCTCCAGTCAGAGGCGGTATTTACCGGTTCTCTGAACTACTCAAAATTTCCGATACCGGTTCTCCAGAACTAGTCAGAACCTGCTGAATGCCACCTCTGTTATATACGTTTGATTGTTGACTATCTTTTAGATGACATTAACAGAAGAACATTTTATGAGTATTGGCTTTTAGTAAGCTGATTATTAGTATTTTAAAATATTTTATACAAGTTTTTAACAACTGGTTCTTCGGCTGGGTAGGCATGGCCTGTTGGTCATGTGATGGGTGGGTGATGTCACTCATCACACCCAGCCCCGCCTCCTGGCCACTCACCTCAAATGAAGAGGTAAGATTCAGCCACTGGCTGGCCCTGCCCCTGCCCATTTTTCGGCCTGTTTTGGGGCCGTTTTCAGGCTGTTTTGGGGCTGTTTTCAGGCCATTTTTGAGCCATTTTCAGGGTGTTTTTAGCCCAGAAAACAACCTGATAACAGCCCAAAAATGCTCCCAAAATAGTCTGAAAACTGCCTAAAATACTGCCTGAAAACAGCCCTAAAACAGGGAGTTTTGGGGGCATTTTTCAGGTCTTTTGAGGAACGTTTTCAGGCCATTTTGAGGGCCGTTTTTGGCCTGAAAAGGGGGCTGAAAATGCCCCCAAAATGCCTTAAAATGGCCCCAAAAACAGACTAAGAAATGGACAGGGCCGGGGCCAGCCAATGGTGGGATTTGCCAGTTCGCCGAACTGCGCCTAATCTTAACTACCGGTCTGCCAGAACTGGTGCGAACTGGCAGCCGCCCACTTCTAGTAAGGGGGACCTCTGCAATACAATATACGGCAACCATTTTTGAATCAAGAGACCTAAAATCCACCAACTTAATGCATTAAAAAATCCAAGATCCATTGTTCTTATGTGGAAATGAAATTTCCATGAAGTTTATATCAGTTTTATTCACAAAATTGTGGCCGTCGCAGTGTCCCTGCAGTCACATGACCATTAATTCGGACACTTTACGCCAGCTTCCCATGAGCAAAATCAATAGGGTAGCTTATTCTGCCTATCTGTTTAGATAAGTAAATAGAGTCTTATTGAAGTTTGTTTGCCACTACAATTATTTTGCTATTTCTGATATATACTCTTTTTAGGTGATCATGGCACCATATAGCATTGGAATTAAAAGAAAAAAGAAAAAGGGTCAGCCTAAAATGTAATGTTCATTCTGGTTACATGAGATTACGCTACTTTTCTCTCAAAAGATGACCCAATAGGTCACGGGGCTGTCTACTATTAACTAAAAAGAAACCGGGAAGGTGGGGGGAAGAGGGGACTCTCCTGTGAGAGTTGCAACCTTAAATATAAGGTATGAGGACAGAAAGGAATGGTGATCAATGATGGCGGCATTTCTCTACTTGAGCCAGTCTTCCTATCAAGGAGCTCTTGTTTGAATGACCTCTTGTTCCTTTGGTCAACGGAAAGGGATAGGGATGGACCAGGAGGAGCTGGCATATCTACCTGGCAGGTAAGCTGCATCTTAGCATCCTATATAAGGGCTGAACTGGTCTCTTTCCTGTAATGATGTTCTTCCTAAGACCTTTGTCCTCTGCCAATGGATGAAACAGAATGTTCTTCCTTTCAATTTTCCAGGCTCAAGGCAAATTAGCTAAAATGGTTTGTTCATTTTTGTTTTATT